TCTATCTATCTATCTATCTATCTATCTATCTATCTATCTATCTATCTATCTATCTTTTTTTTTTGAAACAGGGTCTCACTATATAGCCTTGGCTGTCCTAGAACTCACTACGTAGACCAGGATGCCCTTGAACTTACAAAGATCCACCTGCCTCTGCCTCCCACCTGCTGGGGTTAAAGGTGTGTCATCATTGCCCAGTTAGGACTATCCACTCAAAAAGGTTTCACTTACTGCAGGTTAATGCTCGTCTTTTCTTTAGATGTATAGACCAGCTTTAGCAAGATGCCGAGCAGTCTGTTCCTCAGAAGTATGAGATTAGCAGAGGCGAGACCGCCGAACTCCTCCTCCGCCCCTGAAAGGAAACAAACACGTCAAACACCACAGAGGCCATGGAGGAGATACCCAGTCTGCCTCCTCGCAATCTCCAAGGAAACATTTTCTTTAGAAGGGCTTTCCACTGTGGCCAACAAGAAAACAGAACTGCTTCTTAGAACTCTGACAACCGTTCATGGACAACCCAACGTTATTATTCTCAAAAGCAGCTGTTGATGGAAATTGTATAAATAAGAACAATGGCTCCCTCAGAACCTCAGTTTCTCCAGCATGTCCTTAACAATCCAGGTAAACACAGCACTGAACTCAAGGTCCCAGAACAGGCAACACTTGGCTAAAGCATCAGTCTATGTGGCTGAACCTCCCAGTTGTGGAGACTTGGGGTACTGCAGGTCCAGACCCAGCTGGCCTTCGGCTGCCCTCATCACCCACGATCTGGTAAAACCTCCTGAAATGAACTCAGCACACCTGCAGCTCTCACCAGCCACAGCTAAGAGAACCATCAGGATGACATCTGATCCGATCCCATGTGTCTTTCTGCCTTGCTGTATCCTGCTACCCAATGCTTCCACCGGTGTATCTGAAAAACCCACTTACTTCTGTTCTGTAACTCTAAAGCCTTTGTGAAACATTTCTACAAGAACCACGCTATCTGGAACAACCTGAACCTACATCCCCAGGCCGTGGTCACTTGTTACCAGCTTGAGAATAAGCTTTCTCTTAGTCTCTGAGAGGAGAACCATGGTGTGTGTTGAGACTATATTTTAAAGTTTGAAAATATGAATCATTAGTTTGTTCAACAAACACAATACATAGAGCAAAGTTAGGATTATATAGCTCAGAAGAGGGGCAAATTCCATGCAAAAGCACAAAAAAGAAACTGGACGAAAGCACAGTAGGATTGGCTCAGAGACCCTCACTGGCGTGTCCCAAAAGCCCAGGGCTTGGGCATTAGCCCTGTGCCAGGTATGCTACACCAAGAGAAAGCTGTGTGGCTGGTCTCTATCTACGCTCCCATTTCTGCTAGCACTGAGGCCCAGCCTGAGCTCTCTGCTGTGCTTTTATGCTTCTACTTGTCCGGTTTATGACCTCCTCTAAACTTCACACTATGTTTTAAAATGTGGATTTACCTGGGTGATTACACATGCCTTTAAACTAGCACTCTGGAGGTAGAGGCAGGCAGACCTCTGTGAGTTCAAAGTCAGTCTCATCTATATAGTAAGTTCCTGGCCAGCCAGGGCTATTTAATCCCAGCACTCAAAATGCAGAGGCAGCCTGGTTTATGCACCAGGTTGGGCCAGCCAAAGATACAAACAGAGAGACCTTGACTCCTACCTCCCTTACCTGGAAAAAAGTGAATTTATTGCTTTATTCAATATGATGTTTCAAGTTAACAAAGGGGGACTCAAGAATTCCTCTCCTGAGCAATTAAAAGTGTGTGCAAAAGCATGCCACAGATCTAAGTTGCTGTAAATATTATTTCTTATAAATTAACAATCTATTTAGAAAACTAAAACTCTCAAAAAGTCCTTACTAATTTTTATTTGACTTTCTAATAACTGTCTCCCCTGGTTTTCAAACATAGTTGAAGAGACTGAGCTCCATCTGAAAGAAGCCCCCAGGTTAATTCCCACTGTTGTTTTTCTACAGCTCATCACTCCATCACATACTATTTATATTATTTTACATTCATTAATTTATCAGCGTTCAGCATCATTTCATCCAAGCTATTTTTTGGTAGGTTTATATCCTGAATACTATGTGTGCTACTGGAAAGAAAAAAAGCATGTGGTTTTATTTTTTTTGTGGGATAGCATATCACATTCAACACAATTTTATAGGAAAGCAATAATAAATGTCATCTACAAACCACTGGCATACGGTGATGAGAACAGCCCAGTTGATCTATCTTCTCAACAGAGTCAGCCCTTTGTATATCCTTAGCACAGTATTTACGATCAGGAATTTACAGCACTACTACAGTTATTGAATTGAATGGCTACAAAATATATGGAGGATGGAGAAACAGTTTTTCTGCCTAATTTGTATAATTGGAATAAAAACTACATAGTTTTGAAGCATTTTCATTTTCTAATTGATCTCTTCAGCTTCTAATCGTGTAGAGCCTATAAATAACTTCAAGTGTGGTGGATTAAGTTGAGAGCTTCTATTTCCCCTTCCTAGAAGATCCTTCCTGGTGTACCAGGGGTGAAGGTTGCAGGAGGTGTGGTTGGGGAGATGGACCTGGAACAGGAGGACCAAATGAAAAGGGGGAGGAAGGGAAGGGATGTCTGTCCTTTGAAAGTTGAGGTTCCACCTTCCTCTCTTACTCAACAAGCAAACGAATATATCTACTGTATATGCTTTTGTTCTAAAATTGTTACAATATATCGATACTAATACATTATTATTAATATAAAACGGTGATATTAATAAGTTGATAGCCTTTTTGATTATGTAACAGGTCAACATCAATAGTGCTGAGCAATGAAGAGTCATTCTCAGCGGGAATTAGTTCTACAAGACCCTCACAGACACCAAAATGCATGCGCAAGGCCTTTCCCACCACACAATGGTGACATTTTTGCATATCAACAACACAAACCTCAAACCTGAAATCATCTCTATCTATAATACTTAATACTTCATAAATGCCATATAAGCAGTTGTACTACTCAAGGAACAATAAGAAGATCTGTTGTATATGATAGATACATCGTAATATTTTCCCAGGATACTTTCACTATCCAGCTGGGTTAAACCCACATACATAGAATGTGGGCATGTGGAGAAAGAACTGTGTAAGAACCAGCGATGAAAACACTAAGGTCAATCTAAAAGGTCCTGTCAATGCTTCTCAAACATGCAGCCAAAACCACAAAGGGCTTAAACCCGCATGTCTTAAGGCAAGAAGATACCAAACAAGTTAAAAATTTGTCCATAGACTTGTGAACTCACACCTGATATATTGCTTTCTGTGACACTTACATAAAATGATCCCAGTAGAAAGGTGTTTTCTCTCAATGACTCCTGAATATGAACTTAACAGAGATACTGGTAACACAGACATAATTTAAGAATCAAGTAATTCCAATTACACTAGAGGTGTACCACTATGAATCTAAGATCACGAAAATGTCATAGCCTTTAAAAATTTCAGGCCCTGCTATACTTTTGAATACTTTACAGATTTGATATAAGATAAACATTTCCTAAAAGGCCAAGAAAGTGATAAAGAGAAAAGTTGCACAATATTTTCACATATAATTCAGTCTCATTTGTGTCACACAGGGGCCAACTAGGTAGCTGATTTTACCTTTGGGCAACTCACCACTGTCAGGTTTCTCTTCATTATTTATTTCCATCACCACAAATTTCTCACAAACTGCAAATGTTGGCAGAGTAGAAGAAATGAACTGGCCAAACCTTTAAATAGAACAGAAAATAAAAAGATTTCATTTCTCTTTTCCCTAAATCACAAAATATGCTTTAGGCGACTATATTCTGTTTGTTTCCTCTTGGCCCAAACCTAATGATACCAATATAGCAATGTCGCTAATGTAAGGAAAAATCAGGTTTTTCAGAAGTGTGAGCTCTTTAATGCAGTATCCCACATGTCCTGTGCTGAACAACATGACTGACAGAATTAAAATGCTCTGGCATTATTTGTATGAATCCACAGAAGCCTGATGGTGGACACATGGACACGGACACACACACACATACACACACACACACACACACACACACAGTCTTTCTGTTGTTTTCTGAGACAGGATTTCTCTGTGTAGCTTTGGCTGGCCTGCACTCACTTTGTAGATCAGGCTTCTAACTTACAGACATCCGCCTGCCTCTGCTTCCCTGAGTGCTAGGTGTGTGCCACCACGCCCAGTGACTGACTGACTTTTTAACCATGTGACTTGAAACAAGTAGCACAAGTTCTCTGGGCCCCTGTTTCTTTACTTATAAAGAAAATGGGAAAATTAAAATTCTGGTGAGGTTTGGTGACAGGTTCATCTAAGTGATCACTATAAATGATCATATGGCAGGAAAAAGTCTAAATAAGCAATGGTAATAAAAATAACTGCCCAGGGGTCTTTTCTGAGACTGTTTCTCCAACCAAGGACTATGAATGGAGATAACCTAGAACACCTGCTCAGACGTAGCCCATGGCAGCTCAGCATCCAAGTGGGTTTTCCTAGTAAGGGGAACAAGGGAAGTTTCTGACATGAACTCAGTGGTGGGCTCTTTGACACCCCCCCCACCCCCAAAAGGGAGAAGCAGCCCTTCTAGGCCAAAGAGGAAGACATTGCAGCCAGTCCTGATGAGACCTGATAAACTAGGGTCAGATGGAAGGGGAGGAGGGTCTCCCCTATCAGTGGACTTAGAAAGGGGCAGGGAGGAGTTGAGGGAGGGAGAGTGGGATTGGGATGGAATGGGGGAGAAGCTACAGCTTGGATACAAAGTAAATAAACTATAACTAATATGAAAAAATAAAAATTTAATTAAGAAAAAAAATAATTGCACTGAGCAGTGGCAGTGCAAGCCTGTAATCCCAGCACTCAGCCTGGTCTAAAAAGTGAGTCCAAGACAGCCAAGTATACACAGAGAAACCCTGTCTCAAAAAAACAAAACAAAAAAAGATTACTCAAGTTTTCCACAGTAATCCCAAAGCTCCAGCTTCAAATGTTATAAAGTTAAAAAAGCAAAACAGCTTCCCACAGGGACCCCATGAATAAAAGGAAAGACCACACTTTCTTTATGTTAAGAAAGAAATTACCCACGGCAAGCACGTGCACACTAGAGAGTTGTGTGACTGTGTGTAGATGTGAGTGTGCAGGGATGAATGTGTGTGTGTGGATGTGAGTGTATAAGTGTGAGTGTGTGTGTGCAGGCTTGAGAATGACTCTGGCTTGTTCTTTTGAGGTAGGGGCTCCTCCTGAGCCTGGTACCCCTGCCTGTAAGCTAGGCCAGCAGCCAGCACGTCCCAGTGAGGCCTCTGTCCCTCCTCCCAGGGTGGGGTTGTGGGCACACCTGGCCTGCTTGGCTAACTCAGGTCATCGTTGTTGCAAAGCAAGTGCTCTTCTCACTGAGCCACGTCCTCAGTGACTCTATACCCCATTTCCTACCTGAACAAAATAATACTCAGATTCCATGAGACATTCAAGTATTCAACAATAAAGTACCAGCTGTTTTGGAGTGACGGGGACCAAAGAGAAAAGGGGAAGGCTGTGTGCGTGTGTGTGTGTGTGTGTGTGTGCGTGTGTGACACACACCCTTGAGAATTAACAGGCCTTTGGGAGCAAGGATGGCCACCAAAAATTACTATCCCGGAAGCTTTTATCTCTGGGTCAGCCACACGCCTCCCCATGCCTTACTTGCATACTGCTGACATCACAGCTGTCCCACAGCATAGGGACCAGTTCACCTCACTCCTCTCAGCCTCCAGGGCGCTTCCCGCCAACACGGAGGAGGACCCACCTGAGAAGGTCATTGCTGTTGGGGAAGCCCTGCAGCAGGAAGCTCAGCACGTTACTGATGGCCGCGATGGTGGGCTGCGACAGGGATGCGTCTCGCAGAGTGAGCAGCAGCTTGGGGATCAGCTGGAACTCCCGCATTAGCTTGGCGTTCTTGGAAGCCTCGCTGTAAGAGAAGCGCAGTTTAGCACACCGAGGGACTCTCTCTCTCCTATAAGCGCACAGCTGACTGGCATGGGCACTGGCGAGTACCTGGACTCTGTAAGCAGCTCAATGAAGTGTTCGAACAGAGACAGATGAAGTTCATAGGGCGCGTGAAGCCAGACCTGTAACAAAGCACAACAACAGCACGTTTAAGGCTGAACGTGTCCCGCTGTCACTGCAGCAGAATCAGATGCGGCACACGGGTGCTCGCAGTTTATACAGGTAACTGGACACAGCAGGGAACGGAGGAGAAAACCAGTCACTATAAACAGGCCGAAGTGATAAAAAAAAAATGGAAGCAGCATGCCTTTAGATTCTATCATAAATGTTCTACATATTTAGGAATGCCACGGAAAGATGATCAGAATCAATGACATTTTTAAAGTGTGGAAGAGTGAAAATGGCCACCAAGAAGCGCATTTCATGCAAAAGCATCTTTTCATAAATGAGAGAGGACTTCCTCCCCTTCCATCTGACCCCAGCTTATGAAGGAGGGAGGGTGGGGTTGGGAGGGAAGGAGGGAGGGGGCCATGGCTGGGATACAAAGTAAATAACCTGTGATTAATATAAAAAATAAATAAATTTTTAAAAAAATGAGAGAGAGAAGCATCCTTCAGACAGGAGAATTCCTTGCCAGCAAGCCTCCTGTTACATGAATGTTAAGGAGAAGTAAGGTGGTACAGTTTGGATTCCGCATTTACAAAGACTGTGGCTATGAGGCTGCAAAGGAGGCTCCGCCTGAAAGCCTGTGCTGCTCTTCAGTTCCCAGCACCTGATCACAAAGTGCATGCCAGCTCCAGGGGATGGGAGACCCTATTCTAGCCTCCTTGGCTACTGCACATAGACACTAAGACACCTAAAAAAGAAATAAAAAATAAGATTCTAAAAAAGTATAAAGCGTTGTACATGCCATATATCCGGGCAAATAAAAAAAGATTTTGCAAATTGCATTTTAAAAATAACTTATCATTTAAAGCAAAGATAATGCAAACTATTTTGGAGATTATAAAACAAGAGTATGTATAAAAGCAACACAAGGATGGGAAGGAAGAAATGGACATAGTATAATGTTCTTCAAAGACAAGCCATAGTTTCTAAAAAAATAGTTTTAAAATGTTTGTATGCTGTTATGACCTTTTTATTTATAGCTGTAAAATGGCTGTTTTTTAAAAAGGGGAGAGAGAAAGCAGGGGAGAGTCAAGTTCTTAGGTGGAAATGTCATGGGTAATCATATTAGGAGCAGTGAGAGGAGGAGAGCAGGGTGGTGATGTCTGAGAGCTAGCAGAAGATGCAGGGGCTGCAAGAGGAGAGCAATTGCACATGCTGGGTGTGAAAGATGCTAAGGACTGAGCACGAGGTACAGGGAAGCTGCGAAAAAGCTCTAAAAATATATTTCAGTGAAGTGGTGAGGGTCCATTGTCTGTTTGCCAGACCAAACGTGGTGTAGAAACCATATAAAGAAGAGCCAGGACTTGATGCACGTCTTGCCATCAATAGGGGCCGGTACCACACTGTGTGGCACAGACACAAACATGGAGGCAGACAGGCTCTTCACTCACGATGCCCTGAGACCCTGCTACTTCCAAGCGACTTGTCATGAACATGTAGTATACAACCACGAAAAGGGGACGTGGTGTGGACAGAGGTTAACTGAGCAAAGGCCACGAGCATGCAGTGAGCTGAAAGAACAGCAGAAAGTGCCAAGGGTAATAAGACAGAAGAAGCAGAAACCTTGTTCTTTTTGTTTGTTTCTTTTGCTTGAGAAAGGGTTTCTCTGTGTAGCCCTGGCTGTCCTGGAACTCACTTTGAAGGCCAGGCTGGTGTCAAACTCAGAGATCTGCCTGCCTCTGCCTCCCGAGTGCTGGGATTAAAGGTGTATGTCACTACTGCCTGGGTGAAAACTTTTTTCCTTACAGAAAATATTGTTTTGTTTTTTAACCTATGTAGCTGCTAATAATTCAAATTACAAGTCTAGATTCTATTTAGTGTGGGAAACTTTCTATCAGGATTAATGGAAATGCTATCCTCGTGTAATGCCCAATGAAGCGGGGACGGACAGTTTCAGGGTATATATCATGCATTTAATTTCTGTATCATTTGTAGAGCAGGATATATTTGGAGTAAAGGAAACATAATTCTTCTTCTTAGGTTTTACTAGGTGGCACTGATACGATCATCATGACATTACAGTTTCAGACACATCTCTTTGCAATGGAACAGTTTAATTCTCTCGCAGTAAAGGAAAAGAAGTGTATTTGTCAACGTTACGTCACCAGGCAGTGTGCACTCACTTCAAAGTCACAAAGCAGGTCCTGGAAAGCGGTGGAGTTGGGGATGATGGACGTCTCGTGGCCGCTGTCAACCGTCCCCACCAAGGAGAAGGTCAGGTGGAGGATGTGGCTGTTGAGAAGGGAGCGTTTCTTCTTAAGCAGCATTGCCAGCAGCTGGGGGAAAGAAACAGCGTGGGGCTGCTGACAGATGTGTGCACCTCACGCCACACACTGGGTCACATCCGTGGGTTAATTCTTTGGTGGGTTTATGACATAATGGCATTATGGCAGGTGAAGTCTCACTGGGCGGAATGAACCGCAGGGAATGTGTCTAGAAAGACCACCTGGATTTTCAGGGACAGCAAAGACACGTTCACAATATGGTGATTTTCCATCTAGATAAGGGATCTAAAGATGAAGGGTGTGAAGTGGAGCCACAAAGAAAATGGGACAAGCTTAGACAAATCAACTACCCACAGTCTCTGCAGGCATGAGCCAATTTCATTTCATTCCCTTTCACATGAAGGGAAAGAATGTCTAAGCAAGCAAACTATGATCTGAAAACACGGTTGGCTTCTCTATCCATGGTTTTTAAATGTACAAATTGAGTCCAGTGAAGACTGAAAACATCTTTAGAAACTATGTACAGGCATTTCCTGTAATTATCCCTAACCACTACACTATATAATAACTGTGTATGATAGTATACAATATGGTATATTATATTACACAGCATTGACATTGTATTGGGAGCGACAAACATCTCAGAGATGATTTCAGCACGGGGTAGACACACCCAGGCTATATGCAAAAGCAACATAATCTTATGAGCTGTGCACGGGGAGTTGAGAAAAGTCCTGGCACATTCCTCGGGACATGAGGGGCCAGCTCACCAGGTGGTCAGCGCTGCCAGAAATGACGCGGTCTGCAGGGCACGAGAGACCGAGTGAAAGAGGGGAACTTAAGACACCAGGCTTTAACAAAACCGTATAAACTTCTTCTCACTTGATGGGGGTTTTGTTTGCTTTTTAATTCAAGCCAGTGGCTTTTAAGTTTACTTGGACAAGAGAATTCTACCAGAGTTTAAAAAAATATGAATAGTGAAAATTAGAGTAGTTAGTGAAAAGTAAAGTGAAAGCAAAGCCTGATGGGTACAAACCTGGTATCCCTTGATTCTTTCCATTTCCTTACTGGCTAGTGGGTTGCTCTTGACCACACAAACCAGAGCCTTGACTGCTGCATACAGCCCTTCCACATCAGAGGCCATGGCCACGAGGCCCAGGATGGCTGCAGCTCCTCCAATGTACTGCAAAGTGGTGGCAACAGGCTTGGGGACAAATGTTCTTACCCCTGATTGAAGAGAGAGTGAAAATATATTAACCGTGTGAACATAAGCGAGTGACTCATACAAAGCAGTTTGCTGAGACTCACACACTTCAGTCTTAAGAAGAGCAAAAAGGGAGAATCTGGGAGAAGGCAGTAACTGTTGACTTACATATATCCAGAACTGTGTGAGAAGAGAAGGCAGAATGGGTGCAGAGCAAGCATCAGTTATCTGGACATGGTGCTGGGCCAGAGGCTGACCAGAAACCCAGAGGTCACAGGTGTAAGCTGAGCTAAGTCACAGGGCTGACTCGTGTCTGCTGGGAATACACTCGGGGAATCTGAACGGTGTGCAGGCGAGATGTTACTGCATTTGAAGCATTCAGTAATGTTGGGTTGAGTGTTACCTGCCTGCTCTTCAGGACTGAGCTTTTAAAAGGCTGGGGACGTGGCCCAGCCGTGACGGGTACAGTCTGTGCTTCCAGAGAACTGACTTCAATACTCAGCACTCATATTAGGTGGCTCACAACCTCCTAAAACATCAGTTCCAGGGGATGTAATGTGTTTCGTCTCTGAGGGTACCTGCACATGTGCGCACCTCACCTCCCGCCTACACACAGAATTAAAACAAAAACTAAAAAGTAGTTGGGAACTGTAGTTCCTCTTTCTAAGGATAGAGGAAGACCCTGAGCCCAGGGTCTTGAGATTGGCCACAACATAAAAGACAAAAGGAATCATCATTTTACACTTAGTTAAAATTGTACACAAACTCTCTGTCTCTCTCCTCTCTCTCTCTCTCTTCAAATGATATTACATCATATGGGGTAATAATAACCCCACAAACTATCTAACAAATCCCCAACTAGTACCAGGCATGGGAAGCCTTTCAAGTTGTTGGTCAGGGGAGTCCAAGATTCCCAAACAATACAGCCTATTTCACAATAGCCACAAATGACATAAAGTACCTTGGTGTGAACCTAACCAAGCAAGTCAAAGACTTGTATGAAAAAAATTTCCTGTCTCTGAAGAAAGAATTAGAAGAAGATATCAGAAGATGGAAAGATCTCCCATGCTAATGGATTGGCAGGATTAACATAGTAAAAATGGCCATCCTACCAAAAACAATCTACAGATTCAATGCAATTACCAACACAATTCTTTACAGACCTGGAAAGAAAAATTCTCAACTTCATATGCAATAACAAGAAATACAGATTTGCTAAAACAATCCTCTACAATAAAAGATCTTCTGGAGGCATCTCCATCCCTGATCTTAAGCTGTACTATAGAGCAACAGTAATAAAAACTGTATGGTACTGGCATAGAAACAGAATGGTGGATCAATGAAACCGAAGAGAAGACCCAGAAATAAACCCACACACTTATGGACACCTGATCTTTGACAAAGATGGAAAAACCATACAATGGAAAAACGATAGCATCTTCAACAAATGGTGCTGGTCTAACTGGATGTCTACATGTAGAAAAATGCAAATAGATCCATACTTATCACCCTGTACAAAACTAAAGTCCAAGTGGATCAAAGACTTCAACATAAAACCAGACACATAAAATCGGTTAGAAGAAAAAGTGGGGAAGACCCTAGAACTCATTGGTACAGCAGACAACTTCCTGAACAGAACAACAACAACACAGGCTCTAAGATCAACAGTCAATAAACGGGACCTCATGAAACTGAAAAGTTTCTGTAAAGCAAAGGACACTCTTATCAAAACAAAACGAATGCCTACAGATTGGGAAAGAATCTTCACCAACCCTTTATCTGACAGAGGGCTAATATCCAGTATATATAAAAAAAACTAAAGAAGCTGAAAAACAACAAACCAAGTAATCCAATTAAAAAATGGGGAGCAGAGCTAAACTGAGAATTCTCGATAGAGGAATATCGAATGGCAGAGAAACACTTAAAGAAATGCTCAACCTCATTAGCCATCAGGGAAATGGAAATCAAAACGACCCTGAGATTTCACCTTACACCCATCAGAATGGCCAAGATCAAAAACTCAAGTGACAACACATGCTCTGGAAATCAATCTGGCGCTTTCTCAGACCACTAGGAATAGTGCTTCCTCAAGATCCAGCCATACCACTCCTAGGCATACATCCAAAAGAGGCTCAAGTACACAATAAGGACATTTGCTCAACCATGTTTGTAGCAGCTTTGTTTGTAATAGCCAGAAGCTGTAAACAGCCCAGATGCCCCTCAACTGAAGAATGGATGCAGAAATTGTGGTACATCTACACAATGGAATATTACTCAGCAATGAAAAATAGGGAAATCATGAAAATTGCAGGTAAATGTTGGGAACTGGAAAGGATCATCCTGAGTGAGCTGTCCCAGAAGCAGAAAGACACACACTGTATATACTCACTCATATAGACATATAATATAGGATAAACCTACTAAAATCTGTACATCTAAAGAAACTAAACAAGAGGAAGGATCCTGACTAAAATGCTCAATCCCCATCCCGAAAGGCAAAGAGGATGGACATCAGAAGAAGAAGAAAACAGGAAACAAGTTAGGAACCTGCCACAGAGGACCTCTGAAAGACTCTGCCCTGCAGACTATCAAAGCAGATGCTGAGACTTAGGGCCAACTATTGGGAAGAGTGCATGGAATCTTATGAAAGAAGTGGGAAACAGTAAGATCTGGAGAAGACAGGAACTCCACAAGGAGAGCAACAGAACCAGAAATTTTGAACAGAGGGGTCTTCCCAGAGACTCATACTCCAACCAAGTACCATGCATGGAGATAACCTAGAACTCCTGCACAGATGTAGCCCATGGCAGTTCAGTGTCCAAGTGGGTTCCATAGTAATGGGAACAGGGACTGCCTCTGATATGAACTGATTAACCTGCTCTTTGATGACCTCCCCCTAAGGGGGGAGCAGCCTTACCCGGCCACAGAAGATGACAATGGAGCCACTCCTGATGAGATCTGATAGACTAAGATCAGAAGGAAGGAGAGGAGTACCTCCCCTATCAGAGGACTTGGGGAGGAGCATGCGTGAAGAAGGGGGACGGTAGATAGGATTGGGAGTGGAGGAGGGAAGGGCTTATGGGGGGATATAAAGTGAATAAAGTGTAATTAATAAAAGTTAAAAAAAGAAAGAAAGAAAAGCACTCAAACAGAAAACAACAACAAAACCCTCACACTTTGGATATAGGACTTAGAGGATTTGAGCTGGAACTGACTCAAAAGCCCCTTCCCTGGGGACTAGTTTTCACAGTGCTGGAGGGTGACCTGCAAGCTGCTAAGGAGGAAAGCAATCACGAGTCCCGGCGTCCTAGCCAGGTGAGGCACCTGTGACCCATGCAAAGACCAACAGGCCAGCTGTCCCTAAAGGTGCAGTAGCGGCACTGCTATCTTGGCGGTGACCAGCACGGGTCTAATTGGACTGAGGGTCCACTAAACAGCAGGGAACGTATTAGCCCGGTACTGCAGGCCTAATAAGGCTGGCTCGGAGGAGGACCTTCTACAGCTCTTAACTGCATTCTAAATACTCATCTTTAGGAGCACAGATAAGGGTAGATCTCACGCCTCAGCAAAGTTTCTTTTTGCAGCAGCAGGAGACCATTATGGAAAAGCCATGACTGGTCAAAAGGAGATCACGTGATCATGCAGTCCCCAGCCCCAATAGCCTCTTCTCTCAGGGAACATGGTGGAATGGGGGGAGGGGGGAGGACGCAAGAGCCAGCAGGGCTGAAAGTCAGCTGTGAAATTTTGTCTCTTACAAGTTCAAGAGAAGCTATGCCCATGAAATCTCAACAACAGGACTGCCTAAAGATCTGAGCAATTCCAACAAAAGCTGACACTCCCCTGCAGATAAAGATCCCAGGAGGCCCTGTCCCTTGATGAAGGGTGCCAGCCGCTGGGAGAGAAAATCATTCTCTACCACAGATGCTGTGGGTTATTCAACACCAGTGGTCAGCGTGAAAACGTGTGCATGCAGGCAACAGAACAGACTCAGCAGGCTATGTTTGTAAGCTGGTTCGTTCATATGAATATGTAACAACGGAGTATAAAGAAAAGGTGTGAATTTGGAAAGCGGGGAGGAGAGTGGTGCTCAGACTTGAGAGGGGTAGGATGGAGGAGAGAAACGATGCAATTATAATTTAATTAAATAAAAAATACAAACATACCTACCTACTAATATGAATTTAATATTTATAGGCTTTGTAACATTTTAATACCTGTGAACACTGAATTTTGAAAAACTATTTTTTAAGGCGATCGGGGTAAATGTTACGTCACTGGGAGCATAAATGCTTGGCCTGGGTCACTAAGTAAGAGAGCAGAAGTTGGAACCTGGTCTGAGCATGCTTTGTTCATCACTTCCCACCACAGCGCACTGCGCTGGAGCTCTGGAAAGAACGCCAAGCATTGCTCCCTAAGTATATGCTGAATCAGAAAACGGATTACTACCATGTGTTTAATCAAGCAGGAAACTGTTTTAATAATGCAATATATCAATAAGGAAAAGCAGGATCAGGATGCAGCAATCATGGAGCACTAAAAAGTGCAGAAGCTGGTTAAACATAGACGCTGGGCCAGCAAACCTGTTTGTTCATCTGCACACTTTCATCACTGCTCCTGAAGGCTGGGTGGACCCTTACATCGTGTCTTAGGGTCCCTCATCCCCAAACTTCAATTCTGCTTAAGGCACAGAATGCAGGGAGCTCTAGGGATTTGGCAACTCTGACATTCACTACAGCTGGACATGGCGTCTACTCTTAGAAGCTCTTCCTTTTAGCTCTTTCTGTTGTCTGGAGATGCTGGGGCATGAACCCGGGGCTTCTGGCACATGGGCTTGGGCTCCCCTCCGGAGCTAGAGGGGAGCCAGTTCTTATAGATCATTTTGAAGTAACGGAAAGACGCACGAGCAAAACGCTGAACTCAACCATGACAAAACGCTTTGCTTACACACCTGTTTTTTTGTTTTGTTTTGGTTTTGGTTTTCACACCTGCTTCAGGTGTTCTGCAGTATGGAAGCTCAGAAGCCAAGGAGGTTTTACGACAGCTCACGATTTTTATTTAAATTTGCCTCGGATTTGGGAATAACCCGGAAACAGGGCCAACACACTACAGCTCAAGCACTTCAAAATATTAACCTGGGACATTCTTCTTCCCCATTTATATGTGTATGAAGGGAAGAAATGCAAACTTGACAGCAAAGAAAGAGTTCGGAACAACAAAGACCATGTAACTCACCCAGGTAGCCAATGAGAGCAGCCCCGATCGTGCGTGCCGGCCCGTTGAGATGGCCTGCTGCGTTGTGCACCAGCTTCACGGGCGTGGCGTTCTCGTGGGAGGAAATGCCTAACTGGAGAAGAGGAGGAAAACAGCATAATCATAGAAGAAGAGCCCAGCACGCTGATGCCACTTTTACAACCCATAACAAATCCTTTCTGTCTCCTACTTAGCATAATGTCAAGTGTGAGTATTCTTAAAAAAAAAAAAAAAAAAAGTTTTTTTTTTTTTTTTTAAATTAGGCAAGCACTTCCAAAGTGTGAAACTTCAAAAAAAAAAAGCAATTTGAAAAGCAGTCTAGAGAGATAAAGATGGCAGAGAGGTTTAAACAGTGCTCTGAGAGTCCTCCTGAGGGAACCTCCTAGGCTCGGAGGCTGCCCACCATTAACATTGTTGACAAGTCAGTTTTATTCTAGATCAAATCAGCTTCATCTGTATAAAATTTCCAGGATTGCAGATGAAACGTGAAGAAGGCATCAAACACGCCGACTAGGCTCTACCATCATAGAGCCAGGAACAGATGAGCTTTTACCTAACACCACCAGTTAAACAACAACAACACAGCCAAGTGTATGTGGTTGGTCAAGCTTAGAAATTCCGAATCTGGGACGCTCAGGCCGGGGATGTGAGCAACTTAGTGAGAAGGTGCCTCAGAAGGCCACAAGCTAACAAGCCAACCAAATAAATTACCAAACAGAAAGGAGCAGTTGTGTTCTCTATTGCTATAAAGGTCAACTTCTTTTCTGTTTTGTTTTTTCAAGACAGAGTTTCTCTATGTAGCCTTGGCTGTCCTGGACTCACTTTGTAGGCCAGGCTGGCCTGCGCCTCAGAGAGATCCACCTGCCTCTGCCTCCCTCTCTGAGTGTTGGGATTTACAGCCACTGCATACGGCTATAAAGGTCAACTTCTTAATTAGCTTTTTGTGGAACCTGGATCACACTCAGGGCCCTGGTGTGTGGTGGACAGGTGTTCCACGGCTGAGCTACATGCATGGCTGGAATCTAAACTGCCAACCTAAGCGCTGATACTCAGCAAGACATTCTAACTTTCCTAATTAAGCTAAATGTCTAAATATGCTTGGCCTATGTTAGGAGCAAAATAAACCTAACATCAATGGCACACGAGGGTAGCAATATGAAAATATGCTAATTAGAGTCCCAAAATAAACTAAGAAAATGCAGCAGAAAGAGGTATTTGCAAAAATAATTACTGACAGTTAGTGAAAAATGTAAATTTATAGTTCAAGAGAGTTAATGAACCCAATAAGAACACAAGCTTTTCAAAAAGCTTAGGTATATCACATTTGAATTTGTAGAGATCAAATAGTAAAAACAAAGCTGAACGCACCCAGAGAAAAATGACTTCAAATGTTCCAGGTTTGCGTCAGAAACTAGACAACAAAACAACAAAGGGCGTATCTTGGCTAGCCTGAATCGCCAACTTGACACAGCCTAGAATCATCTGAGAGAAGAGCCTCCAATAAGGAATTGCTTGAATCTGACTGGCTTGTGCCATTCTGTGGGTAGCTGTCTTACTAAGTGACACAGGCTGGCCCACTGTGGGTGTCACCACCTCTGGGAAGGTCATCTGGAGCTGTGTGAGAAACAAGCCGGCTCTGCATGAATCTGTGAAGCAGCCAGCAAGCGTGGTCCTCCGCTTTCTACTTCCACTTCCTGCTTGAGTCCCCGCCCTGCTTCAGGGATGGACTGAAATCTGTGAGATGGAATGAATCTTTTCCTCCCCGAGCTGCTTTGGGCCAAAGTGTTATGCCACAGCCACAGAATGAAAGCAGAACGGGAAGTGGGCAGCACATGAGGTACTGAAGGAGGATGCTTGTCACCACAGAGCATTACACTCAGTAAGGCTGCCCAGCAGGGAGGAAGACCCCATCAGTCTCTATGGCTGCTTTACGGAACTACCCACAAGTGAACCATGACAGAAGTTTATTATCTTGGTTCTGAGGGTCTCATGCAAGACATGGTCCTGATGGCCTACAAGCAAGGTGTTGCCAGGGCTGTGTTCTGTGGAGAATAAGCCTTTCCCTTCTTCCTGCACTTGTGGGGCCATGGCCCCTGTGCTCATCTTCAAAGGCAGCAATATCCCATTCTACTGTGTCGGTCTTCACCTCTGAGAGACCGCTGTGCCCTGGCTGTGCCCCTCTCTACACTATCATCCCAGGGAGAGTGCACAACCGCTGGGAAGCATTCACTTACCTGCTTAGCAATCGCTTTGCTGTCTAGCTTGTTATAGACCTTCCGGATTCTTGCCACCGTTAGGGAGGACACGGAGAGCGCGTATAGGCCAAAGGACACCTTCTCCTCTGCAACCAGCGAGACAGGGGATGGGATGACACCTTCAGACTTTGCGTCTTTGCCTTCAAAAGAAGAAAAATTCTTCTCACACACGTCACGTTTCTCCATCCCCAGAACAAAGTGTTTATTCTTATTGTCATTCCTGCCTAAGCGGACTTAAACCTTTTGTAAAGTGAAAAGGAGAGCCACATTTGAAAGCCATTTTACTTAATTTTCAGCTCTTGTCTAGGTGTCTGAATACAGCACAGGAAAGGCCTTGCCAGTCATACACTGTGCACTGTTTTACTCTCACAGCACCTTCGCCTAAGTTTGACTGCAGAGGAAGCAAAAGATGTTGGTAACTAACCAGTCATCAGACCGAATGAAAATGTCCACAGTGAGGGGACTGGCTGCACTCTCCTTAAGAGCTCTCGCCTACTGCAGGGTAGCAAAAAACTTTGGAATCTCACTCCACTACTTAAAATCTGCACGGCAAACCTACTTGTCTGGCTGTCTCAGTTTATAAACCAATGAAACGAAAGTGCTAATGGTGGGTGTGAACACTGTTTTGAGAGAAACAAACATGAGGTGGAGCTGAGCAGATACGCCCTTTGGGCATATTCACTGACTAGCACATGCTGAGTTCCAGTGCCAGCTCTCATTGACCGCCTGCACATCAACGCTGAGTGAACAGGCGGAGTTCTCAATCCTCATCAGCGGAATCAGAATGTATTTGTCGCAACGTCTCTGAGACTATGAGTGGAATGAGAACAAGGAAAAGTCGGCAGATGTGACACATCTGTATAGCACAAATAAACTGTAGCCAACAGCAGTTCCTTTATTCTGTATTTCTTTGAACAAAAGTGATTTCAAAAAATGAACTATTAGGAGTAACAGCTTTAATCTTGAAACCATGTCTGTGTTTGCTGGACCCACTTGCTCCATTAATAACATTGAGGTACTTTCAATCATGTCATGTAACAGAAGTTACAGATGGAAAACAGGATTGAAGCTGTCACCTCACGGGGTAGATACTCTCACCTTTAACCTGAGAAGAAAACCTGGAAAATTCATTAGCGAACAGATAATGAGTGAGAAAAGTACCTCGTGGCCGTGGGGCGGGGCATGATACCTGAGTTGACATATCTCTTATTTGCAGTGCTGAGAAGTGAACACAGGGCCGTAGCCGCTGGCTATGCACTCTTAAGCCTGAGCTGTCTCCTCAGCCCCCAGAGAACATTTTTAAGAGGAGTGACCGGTAAAGCTACCCTGAAGAAAAGGAGTGGAAAAAGCTCTTTCCCAGCCAAACATATGCACCCAGGCTGCAGGACTTTCGCCCTGCACAGCGTCAGGGACCGCTAGTGAACTCACACGGCGTGCAGACGGCCTGAAAACTTCCAACGTAATTTGGTCCAAGTTCATAAATCGTCGTAACGCTGGAAGGAGGTAAAACTTCTTCTAGGAAGTGAGTGGGTCCCAGGCGCCAAACCAAGGAAGCGATCTGGCGCTGCGCGGGCGGGGTTCCGGCGTAGGCGTAGACTGTGCTCAGCACTGGGGGGTTTGCGGAGCCGGAGCCCCCAGGGGTGCTGTGGACATAATGCAGCTGTAGGAGACACAAGTGTGAGGCGTGACAAACCTTTACAGCAGGAGTAGCTACTTTATTACACGTACTTCCATCACCTCAGTCTGTAACTGGACGCGGCTGTGGCAGTTTAAGACCTGTCACCAAATTCTCACAAAGTAAGTTATATCTAGAAATGACAGCAAATGCAGGGACACTGTCACTTCCCCGCTCTACTTAATCAAGTCAATGATGCTTCTCTGAAAATGTAGTGTTCCCAGCTCTATGATAAAACCACTTTCGATGTGAGTCTGCTAATTAAAAAAAAAAAAAGTATCTTAAATAGTTAGAAAAAAATAAAACCTGTAATTTACACGCACATATATTAGCTCTACAAAATAGGAATGGTTGGTTGACAGTCCTAGAGTTGAAAATGCTTTTATTTACTGATGAGACACCTTCATTGTCAATGAGCCCATTTAAAATAAATACATATTCAGGTAGGGTCTGAGACGAGATGCTGGGCTGCCGCCTGCAGAGGCAGCTTGTCACATGAGAGCGACACTTCCATTCATCTGTTTCTTCATGACATCAACCAGCTTCAAATCACGTCTGTTATTCTATGTATACTAAAGAATTGTCCCAGAGTTGTTGCAGGCATGCTGGTGAAGACGCACGTGTCCATACTGTCCCCTGACTCAGTACATATATGTATATGTATGAGTATTTATACATATGTATGTGTTTGTATGATGATGATGTGTACCCAACATCTTTATTTTCAATATTAATAAGAAGCCAACCACTGGAGAATCCAGAGACTCATGGCAAATGCCTCACGTACACAGTGAAATCAATCGATTCTGCGATGGGACAGCTTAGCATTTACCTTAGCGTAAACTATCACAATAAAACATCACTGTGGTCAGGAAACTCACACAAGGAAGCTGCTCTTTTCACACAAAAAGACCAATTTGCTTTAGCTATTCTTTCAAGTAATATCAGTGTAAGCTGGACACTGTCTGTAGAAAGTACAGCTTACAGGCTGGCCCAGAGTGCTGAGGACAGGAGGTGCTTCAGACAGAATCTTCCAGACTCTGGATCACCAGTGCCAACTTCACCACTCGGAAAATGTAAAAATCAAAACACTTTAACTGTGCTTTGTGTGTGTGTGAGAGAGAGAGATGCCGACACTCACAAGGCTTTAGATCTGAGTACTTTGAACTTCACGTTTGGAGAAATTCAGTGGTAACAACACCATCTTCACTAAGAAAATGAGTCCTTTGTACTTCCTCCCGGTTGCTCCTGAACACTAGGGTTCGACACTCCCTCTTGATTGATGCTTACCCCCATTCCTTCAGCAAGGAAGGCGGGGGACAGCTCATCAAATCCAGTGCCCATTGCACACCATGAGACTCTGACCTGGGTTCTCTGCACCCTGGTGAAAACATAGGCGCAGTGGGCAGAATTGGTAATAGCACTGGAGAGACGAGGGCACTAGGATACTAGGATACTGGGTGCTGGGCCAGCTAATGCAGTCCTTCAGTGAACTGAGTCCAGAGAGGGGCCTCAGAGAACGATGTGAGCAAGGGAAGACAGCCAATGCACGTGCACAGCTGCATACAATCACCCACACTCAAACTCACGTGCACACACACGCGCGCGCGCACACACACACACACACACACACATATCATCATCTTCTCTGCTGTGTGTCCTGCCGCGGAGCACTCACCTTCACAGTGTTGACCAGCTGCCCGTCCACATAGAGGGCCGCAGTGCTGTTCTTCAGCATGCCCTTGCTCATGAGCAGAACCAGGTGGTGCCACTGTCCTTCCACGATCAGGTCCCCACAGCGGAAGCGGGCACAGCACGGGAGGATCTCGTAGAAGGAGGACTCCTCGCTGAAGTCATCAGCTACACAGAGGGCAGAGGGGAAGGATGTCAGCGCTCGTCCTCACTGCCCCCATGCCAAGCTCCTGCGCTCGCCCTCGATGCCCCCGGGGCCAACCCCTGGCTTCCCGTGAGGACTGAGTTCCCAGGCGGCCTCCCCAGCCAGCACTGCCTGACAGCTCCTGACAGCTACTCAGCACTGCGCTGAGAAAAGTAAAATACAGGAGAGAGAGAGAGAGAGAGAGAGAGAGAGAGAGAGAGAGAGAGCCTACTTCTCTTAGTTCTCCCTTGCTTATTTCTGAGATTATAACTTAATTACATCACTCCCTTCCCTTTCTTCCTCTAAACCCTCCCCACCTCAACTCTCCCAGCTCCTTCCTATCTCCACACTCAGTAAACTGTTAAGGATAAAGTTTGATCAACTAGAACAAAAAAAAAAAAAAAAAACAATGGGGCTGAATTAATTTCATTTTCATCTAACTGAAAATTAATCCACTGTCCCCCGTTCTGTTTGTTGCTGCTGGTGGTGCTCAGAGTCGCACCCAGAGCCTGGCCTGTGTGAGGGTGTGTTCTGCCATTGATCGACAACAGCCCTATCCTGTCTCACTGTTTATAATGAGAGGCAGATGGTAAAAACACACTGAAAAGGGGGCACAAAGGAGCTAACACAACCCATAACCACACAACTTACAGCACAAAGTAAATGCATTTGAAAGTAAAATGACAATTACATGAAAGAACTATCAATAAAATGTCAGTTATTCTTTGGGCTATCAAGATAGCTATTACAGTGAACATTAGATTATATTTCAGAATGAGAATTCCTTGAAGAATTAACATAGTATGGATACAAAATCCACAGTGTGATGTAAAGCTGGAGCAGAGGCAGAGGCAGAGGCAGTCAGATCTCTGTGAGTTCGAGGCCAGCCTGGTCTATAAAGCAAGTCCAGGGCAGCCAAGGCTACTCAGAGAAACCCTGTCTGGAAAACCCAAAAAAAAACAAAACCAAAACCAAAAATAAATAAAAGAACAAACAAATAAATGCAGTTCCACTACCAGTGTGGAAATATAAGCACCAAGCTTAGGACACTGAATTATAAAATGATTTTCATGGTTCCTGAGGGAAAGTGGCCTTAAGGAGGGAAAAAAAAAGCAATCATGATTTTTATACTGCCCCTACCCCGAAGAACAGACTGACTACAAAGACCAAAGAACATTAATTTTGAAGGGAAGACGCAAGATCAAAGGGGATGGTGGGGAGGGGGGCGGCAGTACGTGACAAGGCACCCCAGAAGGTCGGGCCAGAAATGGTGTAAATGAGGAAGAACACAAAAACCAAATGCCACCGCAGGGCAGCAGGAAAACGAGAGCTGTGTTCATCTGTTTACAACTCACGGAAGCCTTCCGCTTCAGAAACAGATCCTCAGCCCTGAGAACTTTGAAATAATCACACGGGTACTCCGTGTCGTGTGAGGTACCATGAACAAAGCCAAGAGACCTTCTGATTAAACGTCAAGGCTGACAGAAACATCCCATCAGTATTTACCACCAACCACGTGTCAATCAATGAAATGTTTTGGTTAGAAGAACAAAAGTTAGATGACAAAAATTCTTTTGTATATAACTTTTATATTCAGAACAAAGAAAACTGAGTCATCTGGGGTTTATGTTTATGAACTGTTGGGAGGATCTTCCCGAATGCCTTGAGTCTGCACTTCTCAAAGATTTCACACAGCATATGAGTCTATAGCCTGTTCTGTGCTATCCCAACTAAAACTAAAGAGGATTGCCACTTTGAACTCAGAAATGAAGATAATTACGATGAACTCTTCACTTACAGAACCAGAAGAGAGCACGAACAGACTGGTACTGACCGTAACTTTGGAGCAGCTCCTCCTTCGTGGAAACAATCAAGGACCGGTCCTTTGCAGATAGGACTATGGCAAGGCACACATAATGCTGCTCAGAAGAATTTGCTCGCCGCACAACAGTGAGCAGCCTGACGGGGTGGTTGTTTGGGGGGGAACTGAAGTGCTCGATGCAGAACCAGCAGGAATAGCTTAGACCCGAAGGAGGAGGAAAGAACCGCTCACCTGGAGTGAAAGAGAAGACAATGAAAACGCACTGCAGCGCACACCCCTGTTTGTAAAGCAGGCCATGACAGCTGTTAGCCAAAATATCTACTGGAAAAGGAATGACATTTACCGGAACCAATGCCACTGACCACGGCCCCATCAGTAAGACCTGTCGTGACAGCATTGTTGGTGGGGGCGTTATGGGGAGCCAAGCTGGGCAGAAACAGGCAGCTAGGAAAGAAAACACATCCGGCTTAGAGGCCAGCTCTGTCTAAACATAATGGTCATGCAAAATTGAAAGAAATGGCTGAAGTACAACTGTGTAACTGTTGCTAGCAATCAGGGATTATCATATTATCCAGGGAAATAACGTGAGAATGTCACATGATGAATTTTAAAACTTGTAACAGTATCATTTATACTTTATTTAAAAATTTTGGTTGGATTTACATATGCATTCTTAATTACATATACTCTTAATAAACACTTGAGTAATTTCATAATCACAGGGAAAAAAAAGTCTCCCTGCAATGCTTCGTCACAGTGCAGCCCTGGACATATCTGGGTGCACTGACAGAGCGGACTCGATGGGAGCCTCCGCTGCGGCCTCTCTGATCGTAGCGGTCTCCTGGTATTTAAGGTTTCCCATGTGATGTCATGGCACCAAGTAGTCATACAGCTGATGCCACTATCTGAAGACAACATGAGAGAACCCAATCAGAGCTCTGCATCTCATTCTACCTCATGTCACTTACTACACCGGGGGCTGGCTGACTTTTGGAAAGGAGCCAGGTGAGCCACCTAATTTGTGCAGGAAGCTTCCAACGAGGGTGGCACAACTCTGACCGTCAGAGAAGATACATGACCCTGTAAAATGTCTTCATCCACAAGCACGCTTTAAAAAAAACCTTACCCAGTCATGGACCTTCAATTACAAATTCCATCATCATGCCAACACAGTTAATATGATAAGCAATCCAAAAAGCTTAAACAGAGAAATCTTAAAACAGCCTGCTCAAAGAACTGGATCACTTGAAAATATACGGTAGACCATGTATCACAGCCTATCTTAACCCAGCAATTTAAAGCCAAAGTCTATTGGCAAAGATCTAAATGAGGCTCAAGATAATGGCGCAAGGCCTGGTGACCTTGCAATTTCCTTACCCAAAGCCTTCAAGGGATGTGTCAAATTCAACAAAAGCTGGAGTAACAGATGAACCATGAAGTCTGATGTCATGAGGGGTTGTCATGGAGACAAGACATTTCACCCTGGTCAAGGGCACAGTGCTTCCTTCTGCAGACTTGACCAGACTTTTGCTTATCCGGTAATGGTTATCTTCATGTGAGCTGAAGACGTTGTCGGAACCCAGACCTTCCAGAGAGGTGGTCACACTGCCTGCGATCCAAAAATAAATCTCTTGGGAAAATGTACTGAATTTCAAAGTAACTCCAACCAGGCTGATTAGTTTTCAGATGCTGGAATTTTCTAATACCGTTTGTGCAGCTGCAGTGTTACACGGTCCCTTTCAGAGGCGGAGAGCTCGCTTTCCCTTTGTGACTTACTATCAAAGCAACATGCACACCGCAGAAACATCAGATGCCAGAGTATTAAAGAGAAGAGAAGCGCCCGCAGCCACCGCTCAACCCACCCCTGCAAAGTAACGTCATCTCAGTTCAGGGGTGCACTCTTATTTCTCAACTGTACGTCTCATCATTTCTCTGTGAAAGGAAAGCAGTTTCTTCTACAAGCACCGTAATGGAAAGAAAGGAACGCTGCTAACTCAGAGGCGAGCAGCGACACTCGCCTCTCCTGTCTTCCTCATCTTCCGTACCGTGTATCCACCACGATAGAACATGGTCATAAAAACACTGAGTTTAAGGATCCCACATGTGCACACGTGCTGATGAACAGTCCTGTCTTCCCAGGGAACATCTCAAATGCAACGACGGAAATGCTCACCCTGAGGATGAACCCCAGGGGTGCACAAGCTACTTCCCTTCCATGCATCTGACCCTGGGTCAGCAGAAGAGTGTTTTAATACTCTTCCACGGAGTAACTACTTTTCTCTCTATTCTTAACATAGAAAATTACAACTCAAATCTAAAGAAATGTGTAAAACACAAAAACAAACAAGAGCACATACAGAAGATGTCTATTAATTAATACAAAGAACTGTAAGACATTCTGCCTTTCCATGAAACCACGCTGAACTCCAAAGCTCTTAAGTTTCCATAACACAGCGCTCAGTATCTGGTGATGAGCAGTAGCAGGGAGCAACGGCTGCAGATTGGTAATGCAACTTCAGAATTTTCACCTCAAAATGGAAGGGAATGATCCTGACATACATTATCAAAAGTAGCACTGGTGGTGGGGGTGGGGGTTGTCTTAGTGACAGAGCAGCGGCTAAGCCTGGGCAAGGGCCTTGGATCCATCCCTAGCATATCAAAACCCAGAGGACAGAAAACACAAACCAAGGAAACGTGGTCACACAGACTCTCTAAGGGTCACTGTGCATGCTGCGCTAGCACTGTCTACTTGACTGTCATCCGAAGGGCCTTCCCAGCCTTACGACCAAGGCTAACAGTGACCCAAAAGGAGTTGCCATAAAACCACACAAGGAACCACGGAAGGCAATCCAAAAGCCACAAGATTAGTCATGGGATACAATCCAGTGCGGCTGCGCTCCACCAAGACCCTTCCTACTAGTTCTGGGTGGCCGGTGCCTGTCCATGACCTGACAGACTAGTGGGCAGTGTCTGCACCTGCTCACTCCCTGGGTCATTTTTCTTCCCTCTGCTCAGTGTGGCATCTCCTTGGAGGCTACTCAGCAAACCTGCCCCAGCTGTCTAGGAGACTACACCCACCCTTGTTCTCCTCATCCCACTGTTGATTCCGTTCTGTCTGTTCTGTGCTTCTTTCAAAGTATCGTGTGGGATGAGTTGTTTTGTTCCTGTGAACAATCCACAGGGCACCTGCCCTCCATGACAGGGCACCTGCCCTCCGTGACAGGGCACCTGCCCTCCATGACAGGGCACCTGCCCTCCATGACAG